GCCTGCTAGCATCTTGCACCCTGCTGTTATGTGCTGGATTGTCTCAAACCCTTGAGGAGTTTGCCCCCTCACATATACTAATGTACCACAAACAGGACTTTAATATCACCAACCATTCCCATGTTATTACGGTGTATCCATATAAATGGCTCACCCTGTATATGTCTATGAAGTAATTTTAAGATGAGCTACTAAACAACAGTTACCCAGTGTACTTCATAAAACTAGTGCCTATCGCACTTTGGTAATATAATGTAGATATAATATGTCCAAAATTAAATTCATTGTATTAATAAATGATATGTATTTAATCCATTATATCTCACTGTGAGGCAGTTGTCATCGCCCATTTAAACATTGAGGAGAGTTCATGTTAAAGTTTCAACATTAACTTTTAACCCATGAACTTCCCAAGAGACATCTACTGAACATCCTGATGCAGTCATGTGACAAGTGAGTGGCTCTGGGTACCTGTGACATAATTTCCAAAATGGCAGCACACCCGGGAAGCTAATCTGACCACTAACTAATTTTAGAAACCTAGTCTTATCTCACATGTCTGAGAACATTTCTATAAAATTTGATGTAGAAAAAAATTTGTTAAATATGATTGTGGCATACATTTTTTTTTAACAAAAATTGCCACGTGACCGAGCAGAGTATCAACTCTCAGCTTCAGATGAGCTTTTATCAACACTGCTGCCTCCAAAAACAACACAGAAAGGAAAAGTCACCATGAAATCATGCTCACTTTGTACTGTGTGTTTTCTAAGAGGAAGGATGGATCATACATATGTTCTTGAGGAAACACATAAACCAGGTGTTTTGTTGTCAAACTGTCAAACAGTTGCTTAAAGACACAGCCACAGACCAGCTGACTGCAGCTTTGGTTACTGCTGGTCAGACTTCTGTCACATGGACTCCAGCACTGGTTTGTTTCACCTTCCTTACAGAGATGCACACAAAAGTATCAACTTGGAACTTTGATAACTCCGCTGTAGTCTTCTCTTGGTTCTTTCTCTAATAACAGTTCAGCTGCTTTGTCCACTTTGAGCTGCATCCGGCTTGTTTTATAAGACAATGTGAGTTAAAGAGACTCTGTTTCCAAACCTCATATTAACATGATTGTAATGGTCTGCTAACAGGTGGAAATGAAATCCACACGCCTTCACCTTTACAAAATTCTGCTACAAAACAAAGAGTAATTTCACCCTGATTACATCTTCTTAATGAGATGATTTCTACATTTTACTCAAATCACGAGAAATTTTCATCACTTTGTACCTAAATCATCTTAAATTTCAACAAACTGAGAAATATCAATGGATCATTGTTTAAAAGCTTCACTGTTCATGGATGTGTGGGACCTGTGACCAGATATTTCTTTCTACAAAGAAAACCACAAATTAAATCCGTTCTCACAAAACCTTTAGTAAAACATCGGCTTGTTCCAGCTGTGGAAATTCACAGCAGCACTGAGCTCAGCCTTTTAACATCCAGGATCTGTCAAGGCAGGGTGGCCAGTGTGTTTGCATAGCGGATGAAAAAGTAGGAACGGGAGAACAAAAAGTGAGCTGTTTATTTGGCTGATAGGGAAAAAAACACAAAACAAATACAAGGGAAACTGGGGCATAACTAAACAAGAAACTAAATTGGGGAAAGCTAACACTAACTACAAAAACTATGACATGAGAACATGAACATGAGCAGGAGCATGAAAAACTCTAAGACCTGACATGACATGAAGAAATACAAACAGATGAACCGACACTGAACAAACGGAGCCAGAGGACTTCAATACATAGGAGAGCAATGAAGGAAGTGGAAACACCTGGGGAAAAACAGCTGACACAAATGAATATGATGCCACAGGGGAAGCAAAACTAAACACACTGAACAGGGAAACCAGACCTTTAAAATAAAATAAGAAACCTGGAGAGACATGAACTGGGACATGCAAGCTTGAGACAAGAGACAGAGAGAAGGAGAAGGACACAGAGGAGAGAGACACAAGGGGAACCTTTATAGACAAGGAGATAACAC